ACAGAGGCAACCGTCCTCGCCCTGAATCTGAAAACGTTCAGTGCATGTCGTCCCCTAATCTCTCTCCCCACATTTCCAGTCTCTCTAAAACTTTCCTATCAAAATAAAGGCCCAAAAATGATCTGAAAAAGAGATAGAAAAATTACGATTTCCATACTTTTTGAAGCCATATGTTCTTACATCATTTTGATGAAAGTATAAAAACTACTGAAGGTGTAATATGTAAACAATTTGACACTCAAATATGTAAATTAATTGATCAAATGTTACATATTTTGTTTTTGTTGAGTACTTAAATTACCTGAAATATTTCTATCAGTTACCAAAGCCAGAGAAATCCTTAATTGTATCGTTGTTTTGTAGTGGCCGCCATGATTGACACGACATGATTAGCGTTGCCGTGGAAACACCGAATGTTACGCCCCAGGAAGCGGGAACTGCTACTGAAAGCTACCGTACTGTTGCTGTATGTGCTGCTGTGATAAAAACGTCATGAAAATTATACTCGGATACATCGTCGGTAAACATGTTCTCTTCCCTCAGGTCAGTTTTCGCCCGTTTTGTCATTTTCATCGGAGGTGGGGGTGGAGTGGCAGAGAGAATCACTCCCACGATTCTCGCCGGCCTTGACATCTTCTTTTGTCGTTGTTTTGTGTGAGAAGCCCCCTGGCTGTGGAATTTAAATACTGTGCCTTTAAAAAAACTTTACATTTTAAGTCATATTTTCATCCTTCAAACAATGAAAAAGTTCAGTCAGACATCCAGCACTTGTGGCAAACTTTGATAAACACGAAAGGTAAAACATGAGACTCCTGTTGGCTGACAAAGAAACAAACAGAGAAATCTTTGTTTTCAACTGGAAAATCCTGTTTGACTGAAAATATACTGAGTCAGGTTCAGCCCTTATTAGTTGCAGATGTGTGAAATTGTATCCCCTTTCATCCCATCACACTGTTGTTGCGGCAATATTTTCTGTTGTCTGAAGTTGTTGCAATGCAGACTCATGAAAATGCCAATTTAATTCCTGAAAGATAGTTTTTCACAGAGACATTTCAAGCTGGGGAAATCCCTTTCTCAGATTATTTAGTTAACTGTATTGGATTTCTACAAAATGCCAACATAAACATGGTGACTTGCTTACTTGTTGGTGCATGTTGAACACAATCCTTGTGTGCTGGAAGTCTGCAGCATCTTGGCAATATTTGGAAAAAATGGTTTATATGGCCTTCAGTTGGATCTGAAACATGAGAGAAAGAAAGAAGGTGATACAAATGATAAAAGATAGACACAGAGAGGGAGAGGATAAGGGTGAGATGAGATGGAGAAAGAAAGAGTGCAGAAGAGAGAGACAATAATAGATGATTAGCTCCTCTGCTGACTCAGGCTCAGGACGCTGGGTCATTCATTTTACCGTAAACGTTTTCGGCTCCAGTACCAAGTTAGGTGAGGAGGAATCCGGCCTCAGGTAGAAAACCCATTAAAATTCATGTTTCAGAATCAAAGTGGGTCATGTTTGGTTTGAATCAAAGCCAGCAGTGGGGACCGATACGTTCCCCCTGAATCCCCACCAGGCTCAGAGTACAGACTGTGCAATCATTACAGGAAATGAGAGGGAAAATGGTCGCTGTTCAGACGGGTTGTCGGGTTGCTGAGGTAGCAGACCGTTCAGATTAAAGAAAATTCACTGACCCAGGCAGAAAGGGGACACAGCTTTTATTATTCTTTAACTCTCACACACACACACATGCATTTTCCTTTGTTATACATTTTCCAAATATTTCATATTTTTTTGGTTTGCTGCTTTGGCAAAACTGTCTCTGAAACTTTTACCCATAAAGCCTTTCATTTGAAAAGGCTGAGTGTGCTGGAAGTGTAAATAGGCAAATTACTGACAACACATTTGTGTACACATTTTACAAAGTGATTATATTCGTCAGTGTTGAGCGTAAGGCTTGCTGAGTATTTTAGGGATGAATTCATTCAGCTTTTAGTTTGTGTTTTTATTTATTCATGAATACTTAATGTGATGAAGAAATGCTCCAGTTTCCCTGTAATTAAATAAAGACTGTTTGATTTAAAAAAAACAACAACTATCTTGTTCTGTTATTGGCTAAACAGGAACTTAAATTGACTTTATGAGCAATCTAGAAACCGAAAATGTAGATTTTTTTTTAACTACAAAAAAGTGGCCTAAGGTAATCAACTGCAACTTTAAAGTCTTTATATGCGATTTTTCACACTTAAATGTAGAAATAAAGTATATCCTCTGAAAATAACTCTGTGGGTCATGACTGTCTACAATGGGTGTAACACCCGAGTCCCACTGACTGTGATGTTTTCAGAGTTTTCAGAGTCCTATCTTCAGTTTGTTTACATCGCCAGGACGGCCGGCTGACTCCTCCCCTCGCGTATAAAAGTTGTTTAATTGAGGGACTAGAGAAAAGAAGAATAACATACTGTACTCACTGCTTAACTGTGTTTCTAGATCACGCTCATTTCAGGTAAATTTACATGCAGTGTGAAGATACCAGCATAATAAAGATCGCTAGCATTAGCATGCTAACACAACAATGCGAGTTGTTTTGGTTTCATGCTGGTGCTCAAGGGCGACATCTGCTGGATCAAAAAATCGCATATAAAGCCTTTAGAATAAATCCACCACATTTCTGGAGGGCAGTTCTACTTATTTGGAACCATTGTGACCAGCAACGTGTGGGACCTTATAAAAGTTTGTAATTAGATCAACAACAGAAAAGTCTCAGATTGTTAGAGGCAGTTTTTTTAAACAAGGACAATACAAATATGGACCTCATAACACCTCAGATACAATCTGTTCACTTGTTTTTTTTTTGTTTTAAAGATATTTTTTGGGCCATTTTTTGCCTTTATTAAATAGAACAGCTGAAGAGAGACAGGAAGCATTTGGAAGAAGAAAGTGGGGGATGACATGCAGTAAAGGGTCGAGGTCGGATTCAAACCCACGGCGACAAAGACTAAGGCCTCTGTACATAGGGCGCCCAACATAACCGCTATAGGCTATCTGCCCCCCCCCCTTCTTTCCCTTTACCAGCTCTTACAACTTTACCAGCTAAACTATCTTATATCTAATGTTGCTAATGTTGTGTAATATTAGTTAAAGCTGACCTGTTAATGCTGATTCCCATTTTAAAACTCACCTATAGTGATACAATGCTGGATGCTTATAACATGGGTAAAGTTTCAGCTCATGGGGTAAATGTATGTTGGTGTAATCCCAGGATATAAGTCTCCCTTCGATACCGTGTTTTATTCACAGCATGCATATGAAGTTTCTTTCTGACCTGAAAGAGTAGACCTGCAACATCCCCCTGCGTTATCAAGCAAGAGTGCTCCAGTCATTAATCAAGAGAGCTCTTACTGCCTCTTTATCTACCTGCAAACACACACACACACACACACACACACACACACACACACACTGCATTTACGCTGATAATCACAGAAATTATTTCCAAAATTCTCAAGACTCTCACAATCTTACTCTCTCCTGTTCTCTTGACACATGCACCAACGACCCCAACAACCTGTTAGCATCTAACACAGCACAGTGTCAGCCAATCAGACGCCTTCATTTGGCACTAAGGTGCACTGATTGTCAGCAATCAAAGGCTATGAACCTGAAGGACTCAGAGTAATGGAGGTGAAGTGGCCCTGGACCGGCACTTTAGCTCTCTGTTTGCGTTGATTAGCTCTGATTTAAGATTAAGTCATTTCAGGAACAATTTATTCAACAGGACACATTCATCGATTAAACAATTAACATGTAGAAAAGACTGCTGCCTCCTTCCCTGCTCTCAGGTTAATCATTGTTATTTGGCTTGTTTATTCCAGTGTGAGGACAGTTAACGGATAAAAACCTAATGATGATTAACTCGTTGAAAACCACAACAAACAAAAAACAGGCTTTTAGTTCAATCCGCATTTGACTAAAAACAAACATTGGAACTAGAACAGAGATTGGGCAACTACATTCATAATCCATTATTATATTTACAGTCGTTTTCCAAGAAGAAAAAAAAAAGTTATTTGACTGGTCCAGGTTTTCAGATGTGAGGATTAGTTGAAGATCATAAGGGAATCTATTCGCATTGCACACAATCAGACATTATCATTGGTCATTTTCAGCTCTAAGAATTGTAATGAGGATTATTAAAAAGGATTGTCTATAAAAAGACGCAACAAGGGTTAGGGTAAGAAAGTAATCTGTGTGCAGATGAATCAAGAGGAAAACGATTTTTAAAAAGGCACTGTTTCTGTTCTGGAATTCAAACTGCTGAAAACAAATAAGACTGGTTTGAAATGCAAGTGTGGTATAACTACTTTTGATGAGCCATTTTTTTTACAAGCAATGAATGTGACGTATCATGATTCCTTTTCGGGCTGGTAATCTTTGGGTGTCTCCAATTCGATTCGATTTTGATTCTTGGGGTCACGATTCGATTCAGAATCTATTTTCTATTCAAATCAATTCTGGGTTCATGGATCCATGGATTCAAAGTCTATTTTTGAATTAGCACGTACTTCAGGATCTACTCCAGTCTTCTGTGAGACTGGCTGAATTTCTTTGGCTCTACTGAGTTCAAGAGCTAGCCTGAGCACTTTGCAGGGAGTGACTGATTTGCCAAGTTATGAATCGATTTAAAATCTCAGAAGATAAAGATTTTTTTATTCCTTTTGTCTGTTTTTCTAGCCGATGTTATTCTTTGAACACCTCTGTTGTCTTTCAACAAAACCCTCATAAGGAGCACGAGCCTCAATCTTCATCAAAAAGCAGCTTTGCAATTATCTTGGAGTGAATTTGAACAGATGCTCACATTCAGAGAAATCTGCTCAATGTTTCTTAGAAGAATGGTACTTTGAGATTTACTTTATATGGTAGCCGATGTTTTCAGCTTTTCTCTGCGCCAAAATATGCCACAGTATTTTGTTACACACCTGTTGTTTTTTTTGTTCTTCTTCAGGCATCGTCTCCCTCATCTCCCTCGCCGTTCTGTCCTATGAGCGTTACTGCACCATGATGGCAACCACGGTCGCCGACGGACGAAATTTTCGCCCAGCTCTGATAGGGATCTCCTTCTCCTGGCTCTACTCCGTGGCCTGGACTGTACCTCCTCTTCTGGGCTGGAGCAGTTACGGCCCAGAGGGTCCTGGAACCACCTGCTCGGTGGACTGGAGGACCCAGACAGCAAACAATATCTCCTACATCATCTGCCTGTTCACATTTTGCCTGGTCCTGCCGTTCTGCGTCATCGTGTACTCCTACGGCAAGCTACTGCAAGCCATCAGACAGGTGGGATTCTGAAAAACAACACGGTATTCAGATATTAAAATGTGCTTCTGTTATGAGTTGTAGAGCTCAGAGAAGGTGTCTATGAGTCAGAAGAAGCAATATACGTATGTTAGATTTGAAATTAGTTCAAGCCACCGGAAAGAAAGACTTTAAATTTCAGGATGAAAAAACATTAGCAGCTGCAGGCCAAGCTAAAGCTAACTAAACCAGCCTAAAGAAACCAACTGTCTTGAACTGCATTAGCTAGTTAGCAGCTGTGAGCCAGGCTAAGCTAACTGAAGTACACAAGACCTGTTGTCTCAAATACATTAGTAAGCAGTTTGTAGCTAACAGCTCAGGAAACCAGCTGTCTAAGAACTACATTTTTTAAGAGAATCAAGATTAAAAGTTGTTATGTAGAATTTTTACATTTTTTTGTTGAGTTTTTAAATTAACTCATATTTTGACAACAATTATCAAATCCAGATAAATCTTCATTGCTTTTTTTGTGGTTTATTGGCATTTGCTTAAACAGGTCAAATTAGTAAAGGCCAGTGTTTCCCCTACCATTATATTAGCAACCCCTGCCCCCCTTGATGGTCAAGCTTACTTCAGACTTTTCTTTTCTGTCTCTCTCTGGGGATGCGCTGTGAGCATGCTGCATTCAGGGTTACTCAGACAATGAGAGATGCATTCAGGTGCGCTCAAAAACGTGAGATACAGGAACAAAAACTAAGCAGGACAGACAGTTACAAGTTCAAATAATTGTTCAGTTGCTATAATAACTGCTGTCATTTAAAGAAACGCATGAACATCATGATCCCTTTTAGTATCTGTGGCGGTGTCCGACTGCCGTCTCCCCTCCCCCAGAGCTCTAAACCTAGGGGAAACACTGAAGGCATAAGATAGAATATTCACATTTAAATGAAGATTATTTACTGAATCTAATGACTAAATACGGTACAATACTTTAGTCTCTCTTTATCAAACAAACAATGAACTTTGAAATCACTGTGAAAAAGGAAATGTGTGCTAAATTTTTCAATATAACAAAGAGTACAGTCTAGCCCTGCTCTTCCTATAAAGTGTCCTGAGATAACATTTGTCATGAATTGGTGCGATACAAATAACGCTCTGCGTTAGTTCATGCAGGTCATACGCCTTAGCTGTAATCAGCCGACAGCCAGCTGACTGAATCATTGTTGTAATCACACACACCAATCACAGCTCATTCTAACATCAAGACGGACCATTTAAACCCAACTTCCTGTCTCACTGCTCCAATGCTACACATTCAGCTGCTGCTGGCAAAGCTTTGCCTCCACCACTCCAGCTGCCTCCTTTCTGCCTCGAGCCTGTGGTTCACTTTTGTAAGGGGTTAAGCACTGCGCTCTGGGGAAAGCAGTAGCATGCTGCTCAGCTAGCCTATAGAAGAAACCTTCGAGCAGCAATAAGATAGATTGATTGAAATGTAATGACAAAGGGAAACTGATCTATAGGCAAGAAATACAATGTGACTGTACCTTTACTCTGCAGATTATTTTCATTTCAAAACCATTTCCCCACCACACCAACCTCTTTCTTAATAATCAACATTTGGTTGACTTTCACTGAGTCAAGATCGTGAACAGTTGTGTTGTTGCTTGAAGTCATTGAGAGCGGTGCTTTCCTCTTCTTCTAACTCAATAACTGTAAGCCAAAAATGATCAAAATCCTGCGCTTATCTAAAAAAATAGGCTTAGCTTCACTTGGCAGGATGCTACTGTTTCAATGCCATTAACCAGGATTAGAGTGATAGTTTTGGGTTACAGTGACACAAATTTAAGGAAACAAGTATGAGTAGGTCGGAGGAAAGTTGAGGAGGAAACCCCCTGGTGTGAGTGAGAGACCATGAGAGTGAAATGAAAAGTACTGAAAGTAATGGAAGAGGACTGAAAGTGGAGAGCAGCACAGACGTTCTGACTACGGGCTGATCATGTTAATGACACGATTCGAGCCGACTGTCTTCACCACACTCTCTGCTGAGACACTTGATTAAACCTGAAGGCTACAGATCTCCTCGCCCACTCTACGCTAATCATAGGGGACCATAACGTTTTCTTAAGCTGTGAACACGCACACACCCATTAAGAGTAGGCTTCATATTGTTTCTGGTAGTGTGGGTGTTTTAATAGTGTACAATTACACTCTAATTATGCAGTGTGGGTTTTATAAGTCAATTATAGTATTTTAAGACTGAATATTTTTACCTGTTAATATGCCAAAAAATAGGCAAAAGCCGGTAAGATAAACGGTATGTGAATTTAGGAAACGGCTGTAAATTAGTGTTTTTGTATGTAGACTTTAGGTGCCAGACGTCTGAGCTGACCTTATTTTACCTTTATCAACAGGCTGGATCTATTCTATTTGTTAATTTACTGGCAGCGACACGCTCACAGAGTGTCTTTAAGAATTAGTCTTCCCTAAACGTTTGCTTGTGCGTCACATATCCTCTCCTAACTTTGTGTGGGATGGTTAAATGTGTTTGTTCGCGGCCATGAGCCCCACTTTCTCTGAGCTCTGGGTGTTGACATGTTGATGCTGTTTGCACAAGAATTTAATTTGCCACATCATTTGCTGATTCATGTACCATGCCTCTGTGGGTTTCATCAGCGCCTCCTAGCACACTGAACTTTTCTCTTGCTGCTCTATGGTGGAGGGTCTTATTAAGGTGCCATTTTTAATACATTATAAAAAACAATCAGGAATAGAAGGTTTCAGATTTCTTCATCGTTGGATTGTAGACAGGAAATGTGGGAGACAGAGGTGATGATTTGAACCAAATAGCCTAATGCTAGGGAGGTCAGCCTGCAACTAGGGATGTTCCTAGGCAACACATTTTGATGTCGATTAAAAATTTATAAATTCAGGCTGACCTACTAGTTGTAAGTTAAGAAAACTTTCAGAAAAAAAGCAAAAATTCAGCCCATTTTTTCACACAGCTACACAGGGTTTCACATCGTCTCAAGGGACATTATGTCAAAAAAAAAAGTAAAAGTTAGGAGGAGAGGGGATGACATGCAGAGAGGTCAGATTTAAAACCCATGGACGCTGGGATGAGGACCAAAGCCTTGGTACATGGGGCGCATAAGATAACCACGAGGCTATCTAGCAACCAGAATTACAAATATTCACATCCATTTAGAAATGTTCAGTACTGACAGCCCAATAGTTTCTGATCTTTTGGAAAGAGGTTTCTCCCAATAAGGGATTAAAATAAAATATTTAGACTTTAAATTAGACTCTGCTCCATCTGAAGGTTCATAGTTTATGCAAGTATCTACTTTTTTCTTGCACTATTTTGAGGTATGATGATGTTTGACAGATGGAGGAGACTCCAAAACATGAGTCATGACCAAATCACCTCGAGGGAAACATCTGTTATGAGAGCTAAAGACAAAACTGTAAAACTCATAATTCATGTGACCCAATAAGGATTATGACATAAAACACACTTAATCTGTATAGGTTCAACTAGTGGTGCAGATTTTGTCTTTGCTCATGAACTGAAAGTGAGCAGTGTAGCAGAATGTTTAAGTTTTGTTAGAGAGCTTGTGCTCAAAAATATTTCCCATTAGTGCTCATGCCAGACCCCTGAAATTAATTTGGACGATTTCCACTCACTGGAGATTAGACATTATTTTACACCACTGCCTGAATTTGACCTTTAGACTAAAGAGATGAGTGTGTTTCCTCACTTGATGTCATTTTGAGAGCGGCACAAGATTTTGCATCTGCTCAGAGTCATCATTAAACCCACTGAGATCGAGGGAAGAGGAACACGAAGAGAAAGAGTCTCAACAGACTGTCATTGAGCTGCTGAGGCCCTTTGAATGAATTAAACAGAGGGACCAAAGAAAACAGAGCCAGATCTAGTGAGAAGTCTCAAAGCCTTGTGTGTCCTGTCAGTGTCAGATTAGGAAAGGCAGCAGGTATAGAGATGGATCCTCGTAGGCGTAAAGAAAAGGAGATAGAGACATAAACAGAGAGAAGAGACAGTGGCGAGAAAAAAGGCCCTAGGAAGAGTTTGGACTAAATTTTGTATTCATCAGGCTGGCAGTTTTTTCTGATTTTTGTCTCTACTAAAGAGCAACATATTCTCTCAACAGCCTTTCTAGCATTTAAAAAAACTACTCAACATTTACAAAAAACAAAAATCTGTTAATGGTTTTTACCTAAAAAGTCGGTACATACGGCTGTTAATCAAGAAATCAGACCATTAGTGTCTAATGTGTCTAAAATGTGCAAATTATAGTATGTATATACAGACAGAGAGCAGAGAATGTGACAACAGAGGTGACATTGTCTTAGTTGCACAAAATGTTTGCAAATGTATTCGTGCAATTAAGGCGTGCAGGAATTTACAGTCCTTGCAATCTTTGGAAACTAGCCAACACTGGCTGCCTAGGACTTGCCTTGATACCGAAACAGGTATTGATATGTTTTGATTTTGACTTCTGTAGTATCATATCTAAGTTAAAATTATGGGAGTGAAAATCAGAACAATTAGAACTGTTCCAAGTTTGTTAATGCCATAGCTCTCAGCAGCAAAACAAATCTCTGAGAGTCTAAACAAAAGTGCACTAAAAATGGAATAAAAACCTATAAACAAAGAATAGGAAAGGGAATTTGAAGCAGTAACAAAGCCTTTACAACTTTTAAGCCTTATTTGGAGAGTGGTGTTTGTGTTTTCACTCATGGAGTACCTCAGGGATCAATCTTTAGTCCTTTAGTAATTTCAATAACATGTCTTAGGTAATCAATTAATCTGCTTTCATGTCTATGCAGATGACTCCCAGACTATTGAAGTTTTTAATATCTTTTATCAAATTGAATTTGATTTAATCAAAATATTTTGCTTATAATCCATTTGATTAAATTATTTTTGTTTTCTGTTTTTTTGATAAATTTGAAATATTTTCCTTGTAACTTTTTGGTGCTTAATTTATTTACACAGATTTGGTAGTGAGTCTCTTATTTTC